GCCTTTTCTTGACATGTTCCCAGTTAACAGCCCACATATTCTTCCTTTCCTTGCTATTCCGCCGATCATGCCGTTCTCGTGGTCCAATTCGTAGGCCTTGGAGATCGGCAATAGTAGCTTCAAGCAGTGTCGACACTTTTTCGCGAAGCATTCGTTTAACAGCTTCTCTGTACTGCTTTCTTATTTCCAACTCATCTTTTGACGAGTTTGCATCGCACTTGCGTTCTTCCACCAACGGAGATTCGAAGAGGTTCTGTACATGGGAAACAGGTGAGATCTCTCGGGAAACAATGCCGCTGGTTCCATCTATGCAAACAGGCGAAACTTCGAGTTTCATGCTTGCAGCACTGGAAGCGCGGCCATCTTTAACGGAAGAGGTACGCGAGGTGCTTCTTCTGCTGACACGAGCCGTCGGCGTAGGTTCTTCCTCGCTCTTTTTGGCATCTTCACTTGCGGCGCTAGCTGGACGAGCCCTTTTGGGAGCGTGCTCCTGCAAATTTAAAATAAACATCGATATGATCAAGAAGCTTCCATGGGTAGTTTAATTGCACATACATACAAATCAGGAATGAAGGGGTGAATGACTATAAAACGCAGCTGAAAATTATCGGTGCACTAGGACAATTTAGATGTTCATGCCTTCTGTATCTATATGTCCGCATTTACAACAATTATGATAACAAAAATGGTCAACTAAGCGATTTTGTCTACTGTGTCAACAGGTGCTACCAAAGCGTTTTGTTTTAAAGAAAACAATCGCAAAAATATCGGAGCACAAAGTTATGCTTCGCCACCCTTGAAGTAGCAAAAAAAAAACTAGAAATAAAAAATAGATAGTCCGAACTAACGAACTCAATCACTGACCTGTTTGCTACCGCTTCTCCGTTTGTTGCTGGACTGACGCCGTTTGATGAGATTTGCAATGACATTAGCTTTTTGCGGATCCAGCATAATCAATTGTTCCACAATCTCCTTAGTGTCCATGGTCGTCGTGATTGAAATCGATGGGGTTGGTGCCGTTTCACACTCGGATCCATGGGCTGATGTGACATCCTCACGTACGGACACACAGCTATAAAAGTTCATTCGCAGCTATCTTAGCCTTGTAAAAGATGGAAGTGGCTAATTTAGAAAGCATGTGACTAAATGTAGTGAGTGATCAAAGTCGCAAGCTATGAACGACACTAGATATCAACTCCTGAAATGTTTGAAAAACAATTATTGCTAGCGGCAAGCACAAAACATAATAAAATAAATTGGTGATGCATGACTTGAATAAGATATGGTATACCGAGGATTATACAAAGAGCGAGAAAATTAGGTGCAACGTAGATGTATTTGCATAACACTACTTTGGAAGTGCCAAAACATGGCTTCCTACTTCAATCATCCCAACCAACGTATATCATGTCATAGATGCAGCACATAGATCAAAAAACTATAACGAAGTTACGAAAACAGACTTCCTGCTCACCTGTTACTACATTGTGGTTCCTCTTCTTGGTCGGCAGGCAAAAGCCGAGGCATATCCGCGAAATCTTCATCGTTTTCATATCGTTCTTCACAAACTGAGTCACATCCCTCTAACTGCATCTGAACGCGCAAATTAATAAAAATGAAACAGTCACTAAGCAAAATCATACGATTTTTAGTACTAAACAGCTAAATAACAAAGAATACTTCGATTACATACTCATACACTAAGAAACAAAAATGAATATGCCGTCTACAACAAAACGAGCAAGCATATTATAACGA